TTCCAGTGCAGCCTGGCCCCTTTCTGTGGCTTTCTGCTGCTTGTGTTCGGAAGGAGTGTCCATCCTGTCTTTTCCATCAGATAAATGTATGTATTTATAGCTGTGTGGCTGCTGCTTTTTGGTGCGATGTAGTTCTCTGTTTTTTGGCTCTTATTTTAATAAGGATTTCTGAGGACCCAGTCTAGGTGTAGGCAAAGTTGAAAGTTGTCTGAAGCTGCAGTCCTGCTTCCCTCCACACAGATCTTCCCAGCTTTACTTTCCTCCCTTGTTCTGCCTCTGCCCAGGAAGGAACACACCAGCCTGCACAGACATTAGTCTGTCTCCTTTCCAAAATCCTCACCTATTTTGCATTACTTAGTTTAACAACAGTTTTTGCTTTTCTCTTATTAAACTAGCAGGCTGTTTCTTTGTCAGTGTAAATGGCATCTGATGCTTGTCAGACATACACTCACTGTTGCTTCAGAATTTCAACAAAGCCCAAGTTTCTAAAAAGTCCTGATAGAGGGCTGTGATACCTAATAAGGACTGCATATATTAGTTAAACTCTCTGTAAAGTTTGTTAATGTTTTCGCATAGCAGAAGTATGCTTGCTGACCAGTAAGCTTATTTAGGAAGAGCAGCACTTCATGTTCTTCACTTATGACCCAGTTACAGCTGTGGATAAATGAGAAGTTGGAATTGCTGACATGCTGTGGTTTTACAGGAATTTTGAGTTTGAACATGTTCTATAGTTCAAGGAGAATAATGCTGGAACTCCAAAATAATTTGTGGAAGTAGGAAAATACCCTTAAATGCACCTGCTTATGCATTTCTGTAGGAAGATGGTACAACTTTCTTTAACTATCTATCCTAGCAGTATTTTTGTTTTTCAAGAATTTCTGTTTGGGTGTTTTCTATTTGCTATCTCTTCATTTTTCTTTGGGTATGTGGAATCCAAGTGATATTTTGTGTATGGAAACTGAAGGGTTTACTCTTGGTTACTTTTAGAAATTGATTTATTTACAGTTAAAGTCCAACACAGGCTAAGTGCTGAGGTACAGACAGTGAGATACCCTGGGGTCACCCTTGCTTTCTGCAGAGGGTAAGGCTGAGGACGAGAAGCAGCATTCCAGGACTGTCTGTGATGGTCCAGAGAGATCTATTATAAACTTGTCTCAAAAATCTGGTGGACGCCAACTGGGATCAGGATATGATGAGAAAGCAGGGAAAGTTCTTTGTGCTTGACCTAACTCCATTGCAGTGATACAGCTGAGATTAGGAGGTTTAAAGATGAACTCCTTGTTACTTCCCTATTGGATTTCCTCCAGTTTGCCCTTACAGTGTTTTTATATGCTTTAGTTTTAAGACTTGTAATGTACAGTTTCTTCTGGGTTTTCCCTTAAATATATATATATAGACTGTTTCCATTAATTTTGGAAAAATCACTAAGAAACAGAGCACCATCTTAAAAGAAAAAATGTTGAAACTGTGTAGATTATTGGGCCAAAATTGGTGGGTTTAGGAGCAGGAGCTGCAGGGATTGCCTGGGCTGCCCTTCAGGAGGGTTCCTGAGGGATCGTGTCTGCCCTGGAGCACAGCGAGGGTCACCCCTGAGGGCTGTGGCCACCCGAGGCCAAAGCAAGGGCATCCCTGGGCGAGGTTGGGACCTGGGGAGGGGGAGTCCAGCCTGGGACGGGGACATGGAAGGAAGGAGCAGGGAATAGCCTAAGGACAAGTGAGGAGCGAAGGCGCTGCAGACGCACCCCGCGGCTGTCTGTGCTGAAGCACGGGCAGGGCAGGGCTCAGAGCGGGGAAGGGTGTTCTGGTGAAGCTGGCCCTTGGGAAGCTGCAGGAAGAATTCCCCTCAGTGGCTGCTGAACTGCTGAGTCTCCTTTTTGCCCCCTCCCCAGTTTCTGAAACAGTACTTAACAGTTTGTTGCTAATTGTCAATAAATAAACTAAAAGTTTGTGAAATTCCCCGAGTTGAGACTCTTTTGTCTATGATGTACAGACAGCAGATTTGGGGGATTCTTTTATTGCTTTTGCTGTTTTTTGAATCTTTGGGGTTTATTTTTACAGCTTTGGTTTTGAACTTTGGAAGCCTAGAGATAAATATATCCCTTAAAAAAACAAAAAACAAAACAAAAACAAAACAAAACAAAACAAAAAAAAACCAAAAAAACCCCAAAGAGCTGAAAGCAGAAATTTTTATGTGATGATGAGGCTTTGGAGAGCTGGCTTTAGGAAAAATTCCTCGTGCTGCAGGGGACACGATAAAATTGCTGGCGTTGGCAGCTCTGCTGTGTAGGCTCTCTTTCCTCCCCCCGGCTCTCGCAGCCTTCCCGGCCTGTTCTGGCGGGCTCCTTCACGGCGTTGGTTTTTACGGTGTGATCTACTCGGAGCAAGAGTTCTGTCCGTGTTCTGCGCTTGTCACGCACCACATACGCGTTACTCTCGGAGTAGCCTAACGCAGAGTGTCCAGCATTGCGATCCAGCGGCTCGTAGCCAAAAAAGCGTTTGTGCCCAAAAATCCTGTGCGTTTCTGTGCTCCCCCTGCTGGGCCTGGAGGAGCAGGGAGCTCTCCCGGCTGGGGCGCTGCTGGTTCCCCTCCTTGCCCCGCTCGCACCGCAGCTCCCTGCCGGGCCCGGCGGCTGTTCGGAAAGCACCCGGCGCTGCCCAGGGCCCGCTCCTGCAGCTGCGGAACGGGCCGTGGGACCGTGCGAGAGGCGGGCAATTGTGCAGCACCGAGTTATTGTGCCGCAGCAGGGCTTGGAACGCACCTGGAAACTGAGGCTGAGGCAAGCCAGGTGTAAGGGCTTTCCAGCCGACACGTCTTCTCTGCCATCTGGTCTCATTTTCAGGTGTAGCCCGCTATCCCCGAACGTTGCCAACGAGACTGTTTTGGATCTTTCTAGAAGCAGGATGAGAGAAGGGACAGGCTTTAAGAAGCTGATTTTATTTTTAGAAGCCGATTGCTGTTCCCAGCAGGACCCCGTGCAGCGTGTTGGCAGAGCTGGGGCTGGCGTGGTGGGGGGGACATTGTACAACCACTGAGCAGGTTGTGCGGGGAAAGCAGGGAGCAGATGCTGGTGGGGACAGTGCCAGTGTCCTTAGAATCAGCTTGGACCTGGCTTATGAAAGGGGTGGGTGGTCGGGAATGTGAATTCACAGAAACGTTAATGGATAGCCCTTTCATTTTAAGAGGTGCTTTATAAAACAAAGTAGGAATTGTGATGCTGGTTTTACAGATGGGCAGAATAAAGCACAGAGGAGGGGAGCAAAGCTTTGGGTTTGTGTGCTGTAACAGTGCAGTTCAAGCTGGCTTGAACAGCCTCTGTTTCTACCCTCTGCCATGATGGCTGAGCACTCCTGTCTTGATCCTCCTCCCTGTCTTGTGTTGGCAGGGATATGAGATAGCATGCTGAAGGAAATTAGTTGTCCCATTCCAGCTAACCAGGCAGCTGCACAAATGAAAGTAAGAGTCCAGGAGAGAGGAGTGAGAGGCAAAATTGAAGTGTCCACATAAATGCTATAGCCTGGTCTGACAAAATTGCAGTCCAGGTACACCTGGAATGGTACCCAGATCTTGGGGCAGACAGAAAAAACAGTTTTTTCTTTGGAGAAACAAGCTAAAATAACTAATTGCAACTTCATTAGAGATTAGTCTACATTAGCTAAGAAAGTTATGTTAACACATACTCGATTTGAATCAATTAACATGTTTTTCCTGCCTTGCATAAGCTGAGGAAAAGCACTGGGGAAAACTTCTGGAAGAGAATAAACCTGTTCTGGGCAAAAACATTCACAGTTCAACGAGGCCTTAAAGCCAAATATTCACCTGGGGTGCTTGTCAATATATAACTTCTCTAAAATTGCCCTTTGTGGGACAAGAAAACCAGCAGCATCCCTGTATGAAGCAGACAGTCCCTTGGTGACACTGGGTGTGTTGGGGTGGGATGACTGTTTCTAAGAAGGTTTTCAGTCATGTTTTTATTCTTAGTGAATTACCAGTGAAAAGGATAAATATGGCTGCAGAACAAACATTGAATGCAACTACCAAGTTATTTGTAATAACCTGAGGCTTCCTTCTGCATTTTTTTTAAGTGACCTGCAACTTTGGATAATTTGAGTTGTTATGAAAGCATCTGCTCCCATAGCTCGTCGTTGGGGAGGAACCTGGACTGGTTGCAAATTGTGTGGGGTTTACTGTGTTATTTTTTATTTGGTGATTTTTGGATATTTGTTTGTTTTTCTTTTTCAGTAGTATGTGCTTTTCTATTTAATGGATTTCTTTTTTTTGTATGGAAGTTACTTGGAAGTCAGTCAAAAGAAAAGCAAAATGTAGTCACTGTGTTACTTTTCTCAATATATGCTGAGTTTTGGAGCTTGGTAGCATAATGCTGTAAGGACACCTTGTCTGCCTGCTGAAACAGCATGTAACAAAATACAGACTACCCGTAAACATTCCCCCATCTCCCTTTGCAATCTTTCTTTATAATTAAAAAAACATTTCCTAGAAGTTGCAGTGCTGTGCCAGTGTAATCCATAAACTTGTTTTGTTTTGCTACGGAGAGGATGGTGGTTCTGAGGTATTTTTGCTGTATTTTCTTAAGTAGTGTTTAGGGGTTGGTTTATCTTTTTTAATGGCACTTAGCTCATAATAGCCAGTGAGTATCCTTTATAAAGAGAATAAAAGAGACTTCAGCATGACCTTTAACTGAAAAAAAATTACCATTTGGCTCAGGAAACTTTGATATAAACCTCAACAGAATTCTCATTATCTTTTCCTTATTTCATTTTTGCAGGCATGAAAGCTTGTATTGCTGAGTGAGTCTAAAAAGCTTGGGGATGGCAAAAGTTGGGCTAGAACCCCAAACCAGCCTCAGACCTGGTCCTTCTGGCTTGATCCTTGGTCTCCTAAATGCTCTTAATTCATTCTGGGTCTTTTCACTGAGCTGATTCAAATGCTGCTGTGTTCTGCAGGAGAATGGGTGCATGATGTGTTTGTGTTTTTATTGCAGGAAAATGGATCTTGTGTGAGGGCGTTGAGGAAACGGTCCCCAGCTACTGAGAAGAAGAAAGGCCAGTGGGAAATATTCAGGTAGGAAAGCTGTGTGTATCATCAAGCAGTAAAAACACTTGTGGACCTTCATTTTTTTTCCAGACACTGTGTCGTGTTTGATGCTTGAATGACTGATCTGGTCACTATCATAGTTTATTTGTTGTTTTAAGAAGCAGCCCTGTTTGGTCAATTGATTGCAACAACAAAACACTGCAGGCAAAGCCCTCAGCATAAACATTCCTCAGGCTATCCCCGGTACAGTATTGATCCTGATATGGAATACAAACAAATTACTCTTTGCGTGCGCCATTCGAGCTATAAAACAGAGCAATAATATGTTCTACTTGCTGCCAATACATGTGCATTTATAATAAACTAAGCAGAAATCCCTGAGTAGAAGTGAACAGTAGTTTCAATAATATGTTCAATATCTTATGTCTAGCTGTTTTACAGAAGTTTTTTAAAAAGCACAGAGTGAGCACTCCAGCGTATCTGTTTTCTTCTTCACTTAAGAAAAATAATCTTGGCACACTTTTTCTGTGGCTGCTTTTCCTTTGTTTGTGTTGTTGGTTTTTTTAGATATTTTTAAGTACTTTATAAAGCCATAGGTAAGCTAATCTCTGCCTTACTTTTAGTGTAATTCAGTGCTTCTCAAGAATTTGACCTACATCATAATTTTCTTATGGACCAGCTGCCTCTCCTTACATTGCTGTGTGAGTCTTCTCCATTTTTGATCCTTGTCATATCCCAGTGGGATTTCCATATCTTGGGAAATAGCACTAAAGCCACTTCCATGCATCTGTAGTTGTTTTAAATACACCTGAAATTAGAGGGGAAGGCAGGACCCTGTGACCATCACCACTGGGGGTGCATAATTGAACCCATTTCCAAACAGGAAAAATGTTACTGATCATCAGAACATAGATTTTTTTTTTTTTTAGTCTGCTTTACTATGCTCATATAATCCACCATCCTTATTTTCAGTGCTGCACTTTGATGAGTTACAGACAGTTGACCTCAAGGCATTCCTTGATGAACATTTCTATCTGCTCTCAGCCTTGAAAAACTCAACCTTTTCAAGAGCTGTATGGGAGAAAAATGTGTAAGACTAATATTTATAGGCTGAAAAAGAAGGGAGAGGACAGACTAAAGTGTAAAACTTGCTTCCAGCAGAAATGCCATCCCTCTTTTACCTCTGATAATTAGAAGCATTTCTGACATGGTTACAAAGCAAGTTGGTGAGTGCCTGCCATTTACTGTGCATTTCTACTGCAGGACTGTTTTCCTTCCCAATTCTTTCTTCTATGTTGTTTTCAGACAACCTCAAATTTCTGATACTCACCTATTCATCAATACTCTTACATTTCAGTTACTTCCAACTATGTACATGCGATTGTTTGTAAAAATGCAAGGTTGTGATTCAGGTTCAGGTTTTGGGTATTTTTTTTTCATAATGTTTAACAAAGCTTATTTGCATAAATCCTTTTGTTAATAGTGCTAGCTGAAATAATCCTGAAAGACAAGAAGGGGGAGAGGTTTTAAGTGCCATAATTTTTGCCAGGAGAAGATCATGGCTGTGTTAAGAAATACACCAGTACTGATTTTAACTCTGATAGAAGATTTAGAGAACATTGCAAGTAATTTTTAGAGGCAACTTAAATGGTAAACTGTATTTAATAGTCCTTGAATATAGGTCTAAGATACTCATCTTAGATAATAAAAATACAACGTGCAGGCATAGAAAGGCAGCAAATAAATAACAAAAGGGAACATAAAACCAAACTGCACCACATTGAGAGTACAGTTTTTAAAACTGTACTCTTGAAAATTTCCTGGAGATTTCCCTAGATTTGGATCCTCATTTTCAAAAATAAAATAAAAATTACTTTTCTGTACTGTAAGGAAACTTGGGAAAGAAGTTCCTTGCTGTGCCTTTGGGTCATGTGACCTGGCTGCTGTAGAGCTGGAATGTTTGCCATGGTATTTCCGGAGGCTTCATAAACACACAGACGAAACAGTGGGGGTTAGGAGGATTTTCAAAAAAAATGCTGTATTCCCCCCCAACCCTTTTTTTTTTTTTCCTGACAGCCTAAATTCTTTGCACTTCAAATGCAGGGCTCTTTTAGGAATTCAGAAATAGTTTTTATTTGATTAGTCTAGTGAATTTTAAGAACTAAGTTAAAATACTTGATAATTTTTAATTGCTGAACTTGTCTAGAATGATTTCTTACTAGATGTAATACCTGGCAACCTACATATTAAGCCTGGCTCTTATTTAGACGGTCTTAATGGTTTACTTTTGGCATGTGTCACTGTGAGTGGCATTCATTAATCTGACTTGATAGCTGTCATCTTGCAAGGCAGAGTAATGCAAACAAAAGATGAGCACTCAGACAAGGTTACAGTGAAGAGCCATTTCCTAAGTCTTGCTGTGGTGGTGTAGAATCCCCAAGTCAAATCAGAAAAGCGCAGAATTAGTTCTGGCTCCTGGGATATGAGGGATAAGATTATGCAAACCTCTTCCATCTAACTGTAGGAATTGTACGTGCTCCTTTTCAGACTTTGCAAACACCAGTTTAAACTGGGATTATGAGAACCTCTGTGTCTGTAATGCCATGGATGTTATGTCTTAGTGGCAAGGAGGGCTGAAGGGACTCTGCAGTCCCTTGTACAGCCTGGGCTGGCAGAGCTGCATCTTGTCCTTCCCCTCCCCCTTCCAGCAAGCTGCCTGTTGAACAAGAACAGAAAATGTATCTGTTTTAAAAATAACCTGGCAAAAATGGGGAGGAAGGGGGAGGATGAATGGACTATTTTTAGCTTAACCGAGTCTGTTCTCTGTGCAGCACCATGAAGCTGTCCCAGGAGGGAAGGGGCGAAGGCAGTGCAACAGGAGCTGGTAACAAGTGGCCAGAGATAGGAACTGCTTGTTCCAGATTGCCTTTGTGAAAGTTCCCCCAGCAATGAGCCTGTGGATTCCATGAGACTGCTCAGGACGTGGTCAGTGGGAGATGCATGACCGTATCAAGGCAGACTTGTTGCTGAATCAGACTATTTATTGCATCAGAAGTTACAAAAAGGCAGCATAGTTTGTCTTTGAGCTTCCCTTTTAAGTATGAAGAAGTAGAGTTGTTTTTTTTCCAACTTCAGGCCCCAAACTAGCACTCTGAGGGGGAACGTAGGTAGATCTGGACCTGAGCAAGGGTTTGAATTCTGCATTTTGACAGGGCTTCTTCACTTCTTTCTCCTGTTCCCTGCTGAACTTTCTGAATTCTCTCTTTAAGTGTGACTAATCATTGAATTACATTCTCCAAGTGTTGAAATGTGTGAAGTCTAGAATAATTTATATTAATAAAGTATGTCTTACATTTTGTTCAATAAGTTTTGTGATGTCTGATTGCCACAGATTGTCACACTGTCTGACTCCTACTCTACTAGTCTCTAGCTAGAGCAGTTGATTGAGAAAGGAATGGGATGAAGTTTAGATGTTGTTCTGAAACTCTGGTACTGTAATTTGTAGGGAAAAACATAGTTTAAAATATTGGCTTAAGTATAAATGCTCTGCTATATATAAGTCATCTTTTGTAAAAGTAATCTATGACTCCAAAGGCAAGTGATTTAATTTGAGCTTATCTGATTGTGTATGTGTCCCAGGTGAACACGTAAAAATATGTGTAGCTGAGTAAAATGTTGGTAACTTCTTGCTTGATTTGCCTTCAGTGTTGTACTTTTTTAGTAAAATGCTATAGTACCCCAAATTTCAGGCGAAAAATTCCACATATTTAGGTAGCAGAAATAGAGTACTAGAGCTTTCTTTGGGTTTTTTTTTTGGTTTTTTTTTTTGAGATGTTCCAGAGTTCTGTCTCATTCCTTAGGATATTTCACTGGTTTATCACTTTGCCTTTGTGCGACAGTGCAAAGATATTTTATAAAATATTATGTATATCTGAATAATATTTTTCATGCCCTTTGGCTTTGCCCCTTCCCATCTAAGGAGTCCCAAGCCTTCCTAAGCAAACTTCTGTTTAGGCAGGCCAATGGGTGTCATGGCTGAAACCTGTTCTCAAAAGCTCTGTGTTCCTAATGGCCTCTGACAGTGTTTGGAAAAGATGTCACTTCAACATAGTGCAAAACAACCAAAGTAAATTATATTTTTAATGAAGGATTTTCTATCTGGATGAATTGATACTGGCAGGACAGTATTAATTAAAAATAGAAGAACCTTCTGCAGACACATTGCAATCTATCCTAGTTTTACTTGGTCTAAACAAAAAGCAGTGTACACATAGTGTAGACAGGTCTTTTAGTCTGAAGTACTTCTTTGCAGATGGCTTCTGATTCTTTTCTCTTTTTATTTTATGTAAGTATTGCTTTGAAGGGAGACAAATCAGTATTCAAGAATTCTGTTTATCATGTCACTGCATGGGAGATTGCTGTATTCTGTACTAAACCTACTTTATGGTGGTATGTACAAGATTCTTATGGCCTTATAAAGGATGCTGACTTGCATTCCTCTCTGCAAAGAAGTATTTCCAAAAGAAATAATACTCAGATTGAGAATTTATTTTTGTTCAATACAAAAGTATTCAGAGCTAACTGGCAAATATTTTACTTCTCTACCCTCCCTTTCCCCCTTAATCATATTTATCTCCTCACTGTTTTCTTCTGACTATTTGAAATGTGTTCTTTTAGGGTATTTTAGTCCAGCTGATTTATAAGCCAAGATTTTTTTTATCTTTTCACTGGAAATATGTGTAAGTAAAGGGACTGAATGTTTTTTTTGAGTTTTATATCCTGCATGTATGTGTACTGTGTATTTTAGATATATTAGATGTGTGTGTGAATTGAGATCCTGTTTCAGAACAGTTGTTGCTGTCTGAACAATGGTTGACAATTATATATGTATTTTTAAATGACTGAAAAATCTAAATAAGGTTAAATTAACCTGCAGTAATCATACTGTTGTGTGTTTCTAAATGTTTCGTACCAAATAGTATTTAACTACATTTCTCTATTCCACCTACTTAAAGTTAGTAAGTTCA